CACACTCAGCTCTCCTCCTCCGTCTGCGCTCTGTTTTTTATATTCAGCAACAATCACCAAGGGACGTATATTTCGCTTATTTTTCTTGTTTATTGCCCATCTCCGCCACGTGAACAGCTCCCTGGGGCCTGGACCCTGCTCTTTCCCCAGCATCCAGCACAGTGCCCGACACACAGTCGGTGCTCCACAAGTATTTGTGGATTAAAATGGATGGATCGATCTGCACAACCTCCCCGGCCTCACACTAGAACTCTGCGGGTTCTAGTCCCACCTCCACGAGCAAGGCTGTGCCTCATAGGACAGGCTAGTTAACCTCTCTGGGCCTCAGCTTCCTAAGAGGAATAAAAGTGCCCACCTCATTGCCTTCTGAGGGCTTTAGATGTGTCACTCCACACGTGTTTAGACCCATCAGTGGCGCCCAGTGGGTGCTCAGTACGGACAGGGCCACACTTCAGTCACCATTCCCAGCCTTCTTCTCCTCCTCCTGCCCTCTCCACCCGCCGAGCCCCTCAGGGGAGGGCGCGGGGCTCGGTCTTCTTCATCCTTCGCACATAGTGGGTGCTCAGTACATGCTGGTGTTGAGGGAAGGACATTGGTGGGTGAGGAATGGCACCTGTCCCCGGGCACCGTGAGGCACGCTCTCCTACCCCAGTTTCCGGGGAGAACCCGAGGGTCCCACGGCCAGCGGCAGGACGTGTCCCTCGGAGCAGGTCGGGTGCCCTCCCCTCGTCCCCCGGGGGTGAGGGTCGGGGACGCGCTGGGCGCAGGGAAGCGCTGTCATTCTGCAGAGTGGCCAGCAGGGGGCAGCGGAGCCCGGGCCGACGCCGGCCCTCGGTCCTCCCGCGCCCGGAGGGAGCGCGCCCCCTCGCTCTCCGCGCCCACCCTAGCTCTCCGCGCCCCCTCGCTCTCCGCGCCCCCCTCGCTCTCCGCGCCCCTCCTCGCTCTCCGCGCCGCGCGCCCCCTCGCTCTCCGCGCCCCCCTCGCTCTCCGCGCCCCTCCTCGCTCTCCGCGCCGCGTGCCCCCTCGCTCTCCGCGCCCCGCCCCCCCCGCTCTCCGCGCCGCCCCCTCGCTCTCCGCGCCGCACCGGCCTCCCCCGGGTCCAGCGCAGTCCTGCCAGGAGGGCCTGTCGCGCATCCGGCGCGGATGTCCTCCGGGGCCCCGAGCTAAGAGCTCCCAGCACGTCGACTCGTTCCGCCTTCCCAACAACCAGAGTGGGGCGGGTACTGTTATTGCCCCCTTGCTCGGAGGCGGTCGCGGAGGCCGGACGACAGGCGAGGTCGGGAGCCGGAGGCGGTGCCGGTGCACATCGCCCTTGGGGTCTGCAGGCAGTTGGCGCGCCCTTGGATCACACGCTGGGATGCAGCAGACATTGGCGAGGTCTCCTTGGGGAGGGGGCGTGTAACTGCCTGCTGAGGAAGGTGAGGCAGACCCTTGAACCCAAAACGGTGGACTGCAGTAGAGCACAGCAATTTGCTTAAAAGGTTCATGGGCCCTCCGTACCAGAGAATCAGAAAATACCGGAGAACCAGGAGCCTGGGGGAGCGCGGAGAGGCGAAGCTTGGCCCGGCCTCGCAGGTGCTTTAGGGCGAGGGGGGAAATCAGGAGCCCACCGGATTTTTCAGGGAGGAACAACGTTCCCCCAGGTGAAAGCAGGAGGATGTTTCAGACCAGAGGAACAGTGTGTGCAAAGGCCCTGGGGTGGCTCAAGGCACCTCAATGGCTGAGTCTGGCTAAAATGGCATAAAAAAGATGGAGGGAAGGCAGGATAGGCAGAGAGAACTTGAGTCTCAGTTCGCTGAGACTTAGAGGAAGGGCAGACCGCTGGGCTCAGACACAGGCCGCGCAGGGTGCCACGGGGTCCCAGAGACGGCCCCCAAGTCCCGTGGGAACCTCAAAGGACTATCACTGTGCCCCTTTTACAGATGGGGCAGCTGGGCCTCAGAGAGGTGGGGACAGCTTGCTCAGACGGCCGGTAAGAGGCGGACTGGGGTTTGAACCTGCCCTGTGAACCTCCAGGCTCTGCTACTTTTCCAGGAAACACCAGGAACTCCGGAGAGACCTTCACTGAGTTCTGGCGAAACGAGTGAGTTGACTGAGTCCTCTACATGCCTGGCGCTGTGTGGAGTGTTTCCCCGCATCGTCTCATCCAATCCTCAGAAATAATCGTGTGCAGGAAGTGCCGTTACTTTCCTTTCTTTTACAAATAAAGAACCAATGCTCAGAGAGGGCAAGTGATTTGCCCAAGATCACACAGCCCACAAGTGTCAGAACCAGGATCCCAGCCCAGACCCGCAGGCTCTGGCGTCTACCCTTGTAACCCTGGCACCTGAGTCTCCCAAACTCCCTTCTGCTCCGAGTGTTGTGTCATCCGTGCTCTGTCTTCCTTCCTCTGTGTTCTAAATGGACTCCCCACTCGCCCTTTTTTTTTTTTTTTAACTAAACCTGTTTCTGTACAAAAGAAACCGTATATCATTAGCAGAAATGGAGAACCTATATCATTTATCACGAATGGAAGATGATGGAAATAAACCCAATGGGAGCCCCACAACGTCATCCCCTTCTTGTCGGAGGCTGTTGCCAGCCCAGCCTGGACACAGAGGCTGCTGGAGCTTCGGTGAAAGGGAGGGAGAGAGGGTTAGCGAGGCGCCACGGAGATGCCCCAGAGGGAGCTTTGCTCCTGAGATGCTCAGAGCAGCGGCAGGGTCCCCCTGCAGGGGAAGCCACCTCTCTGTGACCTGGCCCCGCAGACCTGGAACAGCCCGCGCTCCTGAGCTGCCCGGTGGCTGGAGAAGCCGCTCACCCCCAGACCAAACCATTCTTCTCAGCTCATTCGGGCCCTGTGTCCACAAACCCCACGTCCGGGCTGAGGTGGGCGGGGGTCCCGTGAGCAGAGCCTGACTGTCCGTCTCACCATCTGCTCCCCCCCACCCCCACCACACAACCCCACAAGCAGCAGCGTATACAGCTGGCGCTCAGCCAGGCCTCCTGGGCTGCAGAGACTCAGCATTTGGTGGTTGGTCTTTTCTGTTTTTAATAGAAAAATGTTTCCTGCACCACCAACTCTTTCCTGGGCAGGGTCTGGAAACCGTTTCCAGATGGGAGATAATTTTAGGGACGAGGAACGGCTCCAATTGTGGGCCATTCTGCCACCAGCTCCCACGGGAACGTTCCCCGAGGCGGGCGGGCGTGTCTGCGCCGGGGAGAGGGGCCGGAGGGGCTGTCGAGCTGGGAGTCTTGCCAGGCTGAGCCGTGGCTGGGCCATGGGGCTCCTGAACAGTCTTGGCTGCTGCGTTTAGGGGCTGCCACTCACGCCAGGCCCTCCCCTCACACCCTCACTCCCCGCCAACATCCCTGATCCAGCCTCTGGACCCAGCTGCCATTTTGCAGGAAATGCCAAGCACAGGGCATGTGGAACACACCACAGAGCTACCATCAACACAAGCCAGTCCTGGGGAAAGTCTACAGGTCAGAGGGCTCATGTTCTGCAACTGATACACTGTAAGGAAGAACGGGATGGAGGGGAAACAAATGAAAAGGCTTGAAAGATACCGGGTTGTTTTTTGTGGGTTTTTTTTTTTTTTTTTTTTTTTTGGTGAAGAAGATTGGCCCTGAGCTAACATCTATGGCAAATTTCCTCTATTTTGTATGCCAGATGCTGCCACAGCATGGCTGGGTGAGCGGCGTATAGGTCTACACCTGGGATCTGAACCTGCAAACCCGGCCCACTGACTCAGAGTTCCTGAACTTAACCACTATGGCACCAGGCCAACACCAAGTTTTTACAAAGATGGGCAAGACAAAATATAGTGTCTATGGACACACACAGAGGTAAGACTATAAAGAAACACACATCACAGCCCTAAAAGTCAGGGAGGTGCTTACTCTGGAAGGAGGGAGGGGCTGTGAGTGGCCAGGGTTCCCCCAGGGGCTTCTGGGGCAGCGGTCAAGGTCTCTTTCTTCCCCCGCAGGTGGTCACAGGAAGCTTAGTTGCCTTATTGTAAATCATTAAGGCGTATGTTTGTGCTGGATGCTTTTCTCTATCTGTGTTTTATTTAAAAAAAAAAAAAAGATTAAAAAAAAATAGAAATATCCCCCATGCAGATGAGGACAGGGAGCCTGGGGGTGCTGCGGCTTCCCCATGGGTCGTGAGTTGGGGGCTGCCCTGTGAACCCCGCCCGTAATCCGAAGCTTGTGTATTCATTCAACAAGTAATTGCTGAGCTCCGAGTCTGTGCCAGGCGCCGGGGGCCACAGCGGCTGGTGAGAGACATGTTCCTGCCCTCACGGGGCCCAGAGGCCGACAAGTGGGACAAGGCAGAGAACCAGGAACCGCTCCTGCCAGGACCCTTAGGGACTCTGGGTAAAACGTGACAGGTAGCTTTGTACATGGTCGCAGGATGTGAGGGAAATCCTACAGCCTTCAGAGCAAAGAGGAACAGAAAACTGTAGCCGGAGGTAAGGCCATGGGAGGGTTTACTCCCCACGGTGGGACCCCAGGGACTGTTGAAACACTTTTAATTCTGAAATAAAAGTTGCAAGAATAGTATAATAAATTCTAAAGCCGTTTACCTGAATTTACCAACTGTTAACATTTTCCTACATTTGTTTCATCATTCGCTCTTCCTCTCTCTTCTGGAAATTTTTTTCCCGAATCCTTTGAGAATACACTGCAGACGTGATGTTCCTTTACCGCTAAATATTTTAGTGTGTGTTTCCTGAGAATAATGACATCCCCTTAGCAACCCGTGGAGCTGTCAGCTTCAGCACCTTTAACACAAATCCTATCTGAAGCCCAGAAACATTTTGCCAATTGTCCCAGTCATGTCCTTCATAGCAATTTTTCCCCAATGCAGAACCTAATTTGTTTTTTGGTTTTTTTTGTTTCTGTTTTTGAGGAAGATTAGCCCTGAGCTAACTACTGCTAATCCTCCTCTTTTTGCTGAGGAAGCCTGGCCCTGAGCTAACATCCGTGCCCATCTTCCTCTACTTTATACGTGGGACACCTACCACAGCATGGCTTGCCAAGCAGTGCCATGTCTGTACCCGGGATCCGAACTAGTGAACCCCGGGCCACCGAAGCGGAACGTGCCAACTTAACGGCTGCACCACCGGGCCAGCCCTGAAGAACCTGATTCAGATTGCACGTCACATTTAGTGATTATGTCTCTTTCGTCTGTTTTAATCTGAGAGATTCGTCCTCAATCTTGATGTTTTTTTGAAGCATACAGGCCAGTGTGTAGCGTGTCCCTCCGTCTGGGTCTGTCTGATGTTTCCTTGTGTTCAGACTGAGATTATGTGCTTGTCAGGAACCACGGAAGTGATGTTGTGCCCTTCTGGGTACATCCTATCAGGAGGCAGGGGATGCTGATTATTGTTAATAATTGTTGATTGTTATTATCATTTATTGGTGATGTTAACTTTGATTCCTTGGATAAAGTGATCAAAGGTTTTCCTACAATTTACTATCTCCCTTTGTCATTAAGAATTACTTTGGGACCGGCCCGGTGGCACAGCGGTTAGGTGTGCACATTCCGCTTCGGTGGCCCGGGGTTCGCCGGTTCAGATCCTGGGTGTGGACATGGCACTGCTTGGCAAGCCATGCTGTGGTGGGCATCCCACATATAAAGTAGAGGAAGATGGGCACAGATGTTAGCTCAGGGCCAGTCTTCCTCAGCAAAAAGAGGAGGATTGGCAGCAGTTAGCTCAGGGCTAATCTTCCTCACACACACACACAAATAATAATAATTACTTTGGGGGCTTGTATTTTAATGTCCCCTGCAGGGAGTGGAGACCGTGCCTTAGGTGTTAGAAACCAAGGGTCCAGGAAGGGGAACCCTTGAAGAGCTTTACTCTCTGTGAAAGGGGAATTAACAAAAAAAATCCAACTTCTATGTGTGAACTCGAGCCCTAGGTTGAACAGATGACCCTTGAGACCAGGTAGCCGTGGGCGCTGCCCTCACCTGCTTTGGATTTAGATTTCCATCTGGACAAGGAAGAGCGGATCCAGGTTGATGGGCTGGTCGCATGACCCAGGCCTGGCCAATCAGAGCTCAGGATCCTGTGGCCACAGTGATTCGTGACAGATGGGAAGGGACCCAGGCCGGGCCAATGAGCACCTTCCCCGGGACGTTTTCTGGTGTGCAGTGAAGGAGGCCGGGTCAGTCTGCTGGGGCTGCCACAGCAAAATGCCGCAGACGGGGGCCTTAAACACCAGAACATTTTCTCACAGTCCCGGAGGCCGGAAGTCCGAGATCAAAGTGCCGGCAGGCTTGGTTCCTCCTCAGGCCTCCCTCCTTGGCTGGCACATGGCCGCCCTCTTGCTGCCTCTTCCTGCTGTTAAGAAACAAAATTCAACGGAGTAAATCTGGAAGACCTTATTGGCTTTATTCAACGATTCATGAATTCGGCAGCATCCAATCTGGCAGATAGGACGGAGCTGCGAGGAGCTGGACAGATGAAGGACACTATAGGCGGAAGAGAGAGGAACAGGAAGCCACACTGGGGTGTTGCAAGGCCACTTTCCTTTAGAGGAGGCAGGGTCTGTGAGGCAGATGTCTTGACGAGGGCTGAGCCGGCCGTTCCTCATCCACTGGTTTAAGATTCCATTTCTGGGAAAGCCAGAGCTGTAGTTAAGTCTCAGTTCAGTGACGTGGGGTTTAGCATGAGCGACTCCATTTTGGGCCCGTTGTCTTCTTTTCAACAGCAGGGTCATCCCTCTGAGCACCCGTCAGATGGCATTAGGGCCCACCCTAATGGCCCTGTTTAACTCAATCCCCTCTTTAAAGAGCTTGTCTCCACGTACGGTTGCATTCTGAGGCAGGGAGTTTGGACTTGATCCCATAAATCTGTGGGGAGACACAATTCAGCCCACAACAGAGGCCTCTCTTCCCACTGAAGGTGCTAAGTGAACAGGATAAAAGCAGGCGCTGGGATGCGTTCTCACCTGCTCCGGGGCCCCAGAAGCACAGGCGAGGGAGGAGGCCGCATGCCCGGGCTGGGGCCTCCCCGGGGCTGTAAGGAGGGTGCCCGTCACTCACCAGCTTGCCGGAAACAAGAACCCCCAGCGCTGGCATGGATGTGGGGACATGAGCAGTCTCTTCCTCTCTGGCAGCACTTAATAAGAGAAAAGCACACCCATCTTCTGACGTGGCAATTTCACTTCTGGGAATCGATCCCACAAATGGACTAGTATGTGCTTACAAACACGCACCTCTGGGTTGTTTGCTGCAGTGTGTTTGTGATACAGAAGACCTGGAGACAGCCTCAAGGCCCACCAACAGCGGCTGTCCAGGGGACGACGCTCCTCCATCTGGAGAAAGAATATCTGAGGCCAGCTCCCAACTCCACTGCTTCCGGGCTGTGCGGCCTTGGTAAAGTCTCTGGGCCTCACAGAGAAATGGGGATCGTGACTGTTTCCACCTCTGACATCACCGTGAACACTCGCTGAGTTCGTTCACGTAGAATGCTTGGCGTACA